TTGCTGACTCTTTATTCCAACGCTGAGCGAAGCGAACTCTCTGCTCCTTGTCACGGTGCGTCTCAGGTGATGGTTATCACTCTGCCCAAGTAGCAGTGCTTCGCCTTCAAAAAATATAGTATTTATACGGTCAAAAGATGTCTGTGTCTCATATGGCCTTGATATTTGCACACTCTGTGACTATACAAATCACAACTGTAAATAGGAAAACGTTTGCGTTATTTTGTCACTCATTTGGATTAGTATGAAAGCTGCAACCATTCACATCCAGTCTTTGTGCTAAGCTAGGCTAGCGGTGGGTGCGTCAAACAGACTTATAGCACGCACGGAGATGAAAAAGGTATGTATGGACTTATCTAACTCTGGGGGGTAAGGTGAATAGGCTAAAGTCCCAAAAAGTCGGAGTGTTCCTTTAAGTCTAGCAATCGCGTTCTGCTTCATACTACAGTTAAAAACATCAATGTATTCACTCATCCATAAAAGATCCATCAGCTTGACAACAAGATCCATAATTCCCCTTAATGCGGAATATACGTCATTAATATACGCCTTTATTATTGTAAGAAGTTAGCGACCCCTGGTGGCGAAACAATCTTGCATATTGTACCTTTAATTCATGCTTCAAAACCTAGTTATTGTGTTGGTACATTGGCCAATGGCACCAATATAAAAAGTGTTTGTCATCGTGTGAGCCACAGTGGTCAAGGTGTTTAGTTTTTGTTTTGTTTTTTTACCATGGAAATATTTTTTATACATGTTATTTTTTTCTTCACAAAAAAAACATTTGACTGACTGCATATACAATACAAGATGGTCTAAGCTGAATGTTCTTGTTTGTCAGACTGAGCTTTTTAGATACAGATTTCAACAGCAGGTACAAATTTACTTGGAAAAGTAAATACTGTTCACAAAAAGACAAAACAACAAACATTTTTATTCATACAGTAAATTTATTTTTGCAGAAATCTGTTGCATGTAAACTGAAAATGTACAGTTGCTTTGTTAATTTTTACACACTCGATTATGTTTGAACACCACCACACTATTCTTGCTATAGCTCTTCCAGGACAAGCAACTGCGAATTTTCAGTTAACGTAACGCATTTCTACAAAAATAAATGTACTGAATAAATAAAAAAAGTATTTCTACAGTACTGCTGTAGCTGCTGCTATTTATGGTTATGATGTTCAAAAATGGTCTGGAAAACTCCATACAATTACAAACTTTAGTTGATTATACGATCTTCTCATTAGATTTAAGGTGGACCGGCCGTCATACAAATCATACGTTTTATCTCCAAAAGTCAGATTGAATGAATTCATATGAAATCACCACCTTGTACATACTGTACGAATTATCATCTGGTTGAAATATACAGAAAACTGATAAGATGGATAGATGGATGATGCTTTCGGTTTTGAATAAATAAATACAATTCAGAGAAGTGTAGAATCAATTCTCACCATGGTTTGGGTGATTCACACATTTTCCCAAGAGAAAAACTATGTACTGTGCCTTTTGTTTTCTATACCAAATACTATAATAATAGAAAGCTTCTTACTATGTTTGGTTTAGGTTTTCTCCTGTTTGCAGACTTCAAATCTCCCCTTTGTTGCACGTCTGGACTATCCTAATGACTTCTTTGAACTGCCGATGTTCTCCGAGGTTCAGCTTTGTGTGCAACTCAACCTTTCGTCTGGAAACATGCTAAGTCGCTAACCTCTACACTCTTTCCCACATCAGATTTGAGTGTGAATGGCATAGTTTTCCTTAATACAAAATATAAGCGTTTTCACTGCCTTGTACTGATCTCATCACAATGTCTTCAGACAAGTATGTTCAAAATTCATACTAAACAAAGCTTGTAAGAAGGAATTAAGGACGATTGTATCATCTCGCAGTGTCCTCTCAGCAAGACTTTGGCTTTAAAAGCCTCATTAAGAACATCCAAAGTAGCGCAGAGTGTGGACTCTGAACCAAGCCGAGGATCATCAGACCCACCACAGAACTGAGAAATCTCCCCGCCAATGGACAAACACAACTACAAATGGCCCAGACTGCTAGCACAATGCCACAGTGAAAGGAACCAAATTAGCTGGAGGCTAACAACAATTTACCAACACCTGTATTAGTGTGCTTGCCCGGCAGGGAGCTGAGCCGAACAAGTGCTAATCCCTATAAACCCGACAGGACCCCTCCTACCAAATCAGCATTTGCATATTCCCCATTTATTGGTTGATGAGGAACCTACAGCCCAGAAGGTTTGCTGGGATTGGGAACGTTTCATTCCTCCACACACTCACACTCTCGCTGCCTGGGTGGTTCGATGATTATCTCCAGCCCGTGTTGGTGAGAGCGAGGGCCGTGTGTGTGTGTTAGAGATTAGCAGGCATTAGAATGACTGTGTGCTACTACATTCTCTCACCCCCCCATGACTGAACCTATTTGGAGAGGTGGAGAAGATGGGCAAGTCATTAGGCCCGAGCTGTTTGCTTAGGAGTTGACCGACTGTGATACAAGTCTCACTATTCAGAGAGGGATGCCACAACAAGAATGGGATGGGAAACTTCTTACGAATCTCGTTCGGATGGATATGAATCAGATAAAAAGAGGAAGATGCTGGGGGAAAAGGAGGCCATTCAGTTTAAAAGAGAAGCCTATACATGAATTAATTTGGCATACGCCTTTAGCCACAGTATTTATTGTATAAGCCTACCGTCATTTGGAAGAAAGTTGTGATTTCAGTAATCTCTGTGAGATCTGGCTTGGTTCACCCCTAGCTAACAGGATACTCTCTCAAAGTTATGAACAAACATATACATTTCTTTCTTCAGTCGAAAAGAAATTAATTAATTTTTCTCCAAATAAAGGACTTCATTGGGTACCAGACGGTTCTTGGTTCAAATGACAGTTTCAGTGCGGCTTCAAAGGGCTTTAAACGAGACCAGACGATGAATAAGGGTTTTATCTAGCGAAACGATCGCTCATTTCAAAATAAATAACAAAGTTTAAGTTTTATAAGCTCAAACGCTCGCCTTGCTCTGTTCTGTGTGACTCTCTTGTTCGAACTCGGTCATCAAAATGAACGAATCTTTTTTTGAGTCATTTCGTTCATTTTGTCCGTTGAATGAACCAAATGACTACAAAAAAGATTTGTTCATTTTGATGAACGAGTTTGAACAGGAGAGTCACGAACACTCATCACAGAACAGAGCAAGGCGAGCATTTGTGCTTATAAAACTTAAACTTTGTTATTTATTTTGAAATGAGCGATCGTTTCGCTAGATAAAACCCTTATTCATCGTCTGGTCTCGTTTAAAACCCTTTGAAGCCGCACTGAAACTGTCATTTGGAGCTTGAGCCATCTGGTGCCCAGTTAAGTGCATTATATGGAGAAAAATCAAAAACCTTACTTTCTTTTCGACTGAAGAAAAAAAAGATATGGACATCTTGGATGACATGGGGGTGAGTAAATTATCAGCAAAAGTTTTTTTAAAAAAGTGAACTACTCCTTTAATAGAATGTTCTTTCGAAGTTACCTGGTGTTCTCAAAATGTTAGCACAATGACCCAGAACGTTTTTTCCTGAAATGTTTTAGTTGGATATTCAACTGATGTTAAACTTGTTGCTTATGTTCTGTGAACATTCTGAAATGTTCCTATAATGTTTGTACAATGATAAAATGACAAATGTGTCATCATTAATTCCTCCTTATGTTGTTCCAAACATGTCTTCAGTGGATCGCCAAAGGATGAAGGATGCAATTTTTTTAATAATGCAAGTAATGGGAATGTGAGACTGTCAAGCTATACAAAAAAAACAGCATAAAAACATAATTTATGTAATGTGAACTATATTCCACACGAATGTTTGCGGTGCTATGGGAATTTTTCAGTGAAAGTAATAGTTATTCTCTAAAAATCTTCCATTATACAGTAAGTTTGATTGACAGGATTTTTAATGTGATTGAATAAAAACATATTGGAGATCATAAAAAGTTCTGAAGTGACTACTGATTAATTTAGATGACATTGGACCCCATTAGCTTTTATTGTATCGACAATATTTTTTTCAAAATATCTCTTTTTATGTTCCACAGAAGAAAGAAAATCATACAGGTTTGGAAAGACACGAGGGTGTATAAATGAAGACAGAATTTCAGCAATCTAATACTGAGAAGATGCAAAGAGCATGCAAGGGTCTTACTTTGACATGAAAAGGTCTATTTCTTTAAGGGATACTTCACTTTTTTTGGAAATAGGCCCATTTTACCACTCCCCCAGATTTAAACAGTTGAGTTTTAACGTTTTCAAATTCATTCAGCCGATTTTCAGATATTTAGAAGAATATCAATAACCAGACAGTTTTTGGTCTCATTGACTTCCATAGCAGGAAAAAAAATGTACTATGGAAGTCAATGAGACCAGAAACTGTCTGGTTACTGATATTCTTCTGAATATCAAAAAATTCGGCTGAATACATTCGAAAACGGTAAAACCCAACTGTTTAACTCTGGGGGAGTGGAAAAATGAGCCTATTTCCAAAAAAAGTGGAGTATCCCTTTAAACACACACACACACAAATGCACCTACAGTACATAACCCAATGAAGCTACTGTGAAGCTACACTAATATTTAAAAGTGTAAGGTCAGCAAAGATGCCTTAAATTGATCAAAGGTAACAGTAAATACATTAATAAAGTATAAAATGATTTGTATTTCAAATAAAGGCTTTCGATTTCCACAAACATTGATAATATTCAGAAATAAGCATATTAGAATGATTTCTGAAGGATCATGCGACACTGAAGACTGGAGTAATGATTGTAATCGTACAGGGAAAAAAAGTCAATTTTAAAATATATTCAAAGATGCGTTTCAGGCTATACTGAGAAGATTTCTTCCATGCAAGTGGAGGGTAAAAAAATCTTTTAAACAAGATATGACGGCATTCACATGTTCAAGAGATCAAGGTTTCCCCTTTCACTTACAGTACATCATCTGGACACTGCTATCAACTATTAAAAGTGAACCCGAGAAAAATTGTCTTTCATCTTTCACGTGCTGTCTGCAATGTTGACATCAGTGTCCCAAACCTCGAGCCGCTGCTGTCAAGATCTCCATCCTCACGGGAGCTCAAAAGGCCCGACAGTGCAGTTTAGTCTGATTTTGATTTTAAGTGAGCATCAGATCAGATGTCAATGTCTATTCCCACAGGCTACAACCCTGTCAGATACCCCTCTGTGCCAATTAGTCGAGAGAAAGGACGGAGACAAGGACAGAAGCTGCACTGCTGGGCCGCTAAAACCCCACTGGTGCAGGGGCTAATGGCTAATCAGAGACGGACTTACTGTCTTCATAGTGGCTGGCTTCGCTAAGTCCTTTTGGGGATATCTGTCCTGGGAGACCGCAAGCGTGGAACATGGTGAGGTGCTAAATGGAGGCTGTTGAATCCAATATTGGTCTGATCTGAGGAGAGAGTGCCCAGAATTTTGACAGAACAAGAAAATATGTTGTATATACAGACAAAGCATAAGCATCCTTCAAATGTTATGATTTTAATGTACAAAAATTAAGTTAATATCTTAATATTCTACTAGGTTGAAAATGTTTGGAAAATGTTTTATATATTTTTAAATATTTCAAATATGAGGGAAGATATTGTTAACAATTTAACATGAACTAATAATTAACTGTACTTATACAGCATTTATTAAATCTGTGTTAATGTTAATTTCAGCATTTACTAATACATTATTAAAAATCAAAAGTTGTAATGCACTGTGCATTAACATGAACAATGAACAGCTGGATTTTTAGTAACTAATGTTAAAAATACCGTAATAAATGTATTGCTCTTTGTTAGTTCATGTAAGTTAATACATTAAACAAAAAAAATACACAAACTGTAAAAAAAATGTTGTTGGTTTAACTTAAAAAAGTAAGTAACCTGGTTGCCTTAAAATGTTAAGTTCATTGAAATGGAAAAAGTGAGTTAATACGATGAAAGCGAATGATTTAATCTTTAGAAACTGAAAATTATATGTTATCTGAACTAAATATATTATTTAAGTTGATTTGACAAAAGAAAAAAAAAAATTGTGATTACTAATCATGAAAACATTTTTTGGACAACAAAATCAAATATTAATATGTTGTTTGTTCTCATGTTTTTACATGTGTTATTTTTTCATAATTTCTTTGCATGAAAGCCTAGTCAGAAATTATGTCTGCAGAATTCGGCACTGCATTATCACAACCTTTTTTTTATCACAACATTTTTTTTTGTCAAATCAACTTGGATAATTTATGTGGTTCAGGTAACATAATATTTTGAGTTTCTGTTGATTTAACTCAATATTTAATTTCAAATAACTCAAAATGTTAAGGCAACCAGGTTCCTTTTTTAAGTTAAACCAACAATCATTTTTTACAGTGAAAAAAAAAGCCCACATGCAATATATTTACAAAATCTTTAACCCATTTTAATAATATATTACTAATGGGTGGAGATGTCAGACATCACTTTTGGCCACTACTGTAATTGTATATTATAATAATACATTAATGTATTATATTAATTTTCAGAGAGCCAGATAGTGTGTGAATATATATATATATATATATATACACACTCATCAGAAACCTCAGGCTCTGTTGGCTGTCATAAAATGAATATGATTCTGTGTCAGATTGGGATACATTTAATCTTCCATTGAAACAGAGGTGATGATGTTGAGCTAATAAAGGGTGTTTATTATAACCTGTCATGACAAGGAAACACTAACCATGACGGATGACCCATACGGACTCACACACACACAGTCCTCTGATCTCAGCATTATTGATCGTTTCATTATGTCTTTTTGCTTTTTCTGTGACGGCCATTCAATCTTGGCTGTCATCTTCTATTGAAGCCTGCGCTCGGGGAGGAGCGGGATGGAAAGTGATGGGTAAAAACGGCACACAGAGCCGGGGTGCCGGCGGTCGGGGGGAGCGGGACACCGTCTGTCGCTGCCACCGTGGTTGTATGTGAGTGTGTATCCGAAAAATGGGTAGAGCAGGTGGTGTGACTAAGCAGAGCCTGGCGCAAATGGGCCATGTGTGTGTGTGTGTGTAGAGCGATGAGACGGGGGTGTCACCTCTTGCTCTTCCGAATAGAGAGGCCCATCACACCCACCCAACTGTTTGGCATTCAGAAGTGTCCACCTCTTTTTTTTTTGGCCTCTCTCCTTTCTTTTAGTCCTCCCTTTCTTGCCTTCATAATGCATTGTTAACAAAACAGTTTACCAGGCTTGGCTGGTACATTATCCAGCGGGCCTCTGGAGACGCTGTGATTTAGGCAAATGGATTCAGAGAGAGGAGTGGCCGTGGAGTCTTAACAAAACGCCACATGAGTCGAGACTGAATCTTCTCTCTTCTTCCCTATTTAGTCTCCTCCATATATTAAATAGCAATTAGGCGCTCTATGTGTGCAGTGTGCTGAAGGGAGCGGAGACACTATGATCTCACTGCATATGCATGAATGAGGCATACTGATCACCTCACATCATCTCCTCTGAGCATTATGAGACCTATATTGGCTTTCATTGAGGGCAGAGGTGGATCATGTCTTTAGATACCAATTTTTCTGGTTCAGCCCAGTGTATGGAATTAAAAATAATGTGAAATGTGAGTCAAAGAGATGGTAAACTAGTAGAAGTTGACTTTGCCAAAGTCCTTCAAAGACTTGTTTAAAGTGATATATTAATTATTAAATAAATTTAATTATATAATAATAATAAAATTGCACTTTATTTGTTTATTTATTAATGCCCTTAGCTATTTCATATTAAAGATAATTACATTTTTGCCAAAATACAAAAAAAAAAATTATTTACAACTTGAATTTATCAACATTAATGAAATATATAAACATATGTAATGAATGAATATATATATATATATATATATATATATATATATGAAGAGTTCAGATGCAAAAGCCTCTAAGTGCCATTTGAAATTTTCTTCTAGAATTATCATTTTTATCAAGCTTGTATATTTAATTTCAGTAATTTCACAAAAATTGCAATGAGGATTACCTATTAATTGTCATTTAAGTGAAATTACTGAACTTGAATATATAAGCTTGATAATGCTGGGTTTATCACATGTTGGGTTTTCATGTTTTGTGGGGAATTTCTATAGACATGATTTTTTTTTAATGCCCAGACTGTATAATCTATCCCCAAACTCTAAACCTACCCATCACAGAAAACTTTCTGCTTTTTTACATTTTCAAAAAACTCATTTAGTATGATTTATAATCTGTAATTTATAGTACTCATGCGGACCAAAAAAAAAGTCCCCCAAAGGACAAGGATTTCGGATGTTGCCATTTTTCTGAGGACATTTTGTCCTCATAAAGTAGGGTTTACCAGGACCACACACATGCGCACACACACACACACACACACAATATAGATAACAAACATTATATACACAATAGGCATGTACAAAACTAAATAATGAAGGTGGGGTTGGGGTAAGTTTTCACAGATGTATTTAAAGTAATACATTCACAAAATGTGACATATTTGTTGGTCAAAAAAAACTGATTTGACATTATTGTATGTTACTTTTTGCAGTTTGCTGTTTCTTTAGTTGTTGTGCTGTTATCAGCTGGTGTCAACATTTGTTATCAAAGAATTAAAAACAAAATTGGCCAAAACTTTTAGGTATAATCCTATAAAAAAAAATGGCTTAAAAATAAACTTACAGTATTCACTGGAGTAAAAGTGTGACAACTAGTTCCACAAAAGAAACTTTAAAATCCATGGAATATTTACATTTTTTAGATTTTTAAAAGGATCTTCACACTAAGCAAATAAATAAATAAATATTTTAAAGAGTTTTCACTAAAAGAATCATTAGGGAACCAAAATTGTTTCCTCTAGTATCACTGAGAAAACCTGCAATGTAGACCTGTAGTAAGAGTGTAGTCTTCCCTATTTGTTGCCAGAAAAATAAACAACTAGATTCAACTTCCTTCATAAGCATGGAGGGTACAAGGCACTTCTTCTGGTACAAAAAGAAAAAAAGCCTTTGTTATTGTTTTGACTGGTCACAGATGGACACACTAGCCTTCTTTAAAATGTCAGAAACCATAGCAGACAAATACAAAGTCCTGTCATGAAATCTGGCACAGACTTGGCACAGCTGATTGGTTCCTGCATATATCAGTAGCCAATGAGCTCGCTGCTCAACCTTCAAAGTTTCACCTGTATCCTCTGGGCGAAAATGTCTTGTTGATGCTAGAGGACAGAGGAGAACACTGCATGAAAAGTGGGATTTTCGTCAGTAAGCGGCACTGTAGATTGTCGTGGAAGTTCAGGTTTACGACTGCACACGGCAATTTACAGGTAACACTCAAAACTGCCGTGAATTGCCGGAAATTGACGTGGGCCTTGCTTGGCAGTTGTCCCCCCATTGTCCCCCCTTCTCCTAAATCTAGAGGAGGCTTTGACATGTAAATGAAAATGCTGTGAGCTATACACATGCAAATAAGGGTAGGGGAGTTTCACCCCAGGTAACATTTTTCTGAAAGGAACTTCATTCTAAGACAATCTCTGGTAGAAATAGATCAGGCTCAGTATAACCTAATTACCGCGTTTTTTTTTAACATTGCAACATGACATCCAAAAAGATAACAATCAACAAATAATAATTTCACAATAAATAAGAAACAAATAAAAATAGGACAGAATTGAACAAATGAAATAAAAACAGGAAAGGGACTATCTCTATTGTGTATAATATTATGATTTAAGAGAAAGTTAGAAACCAGTAATTTGTACTATTTAAAGAAAGAAAATAGCATACACATAAATTCACTTTTCAATTAGCTTCAATATTCTTTAGCAAATACAATTGTATCACTACATTTTTATCGATACATTTGAGAGACTCAATATACTGAAAACTGAAAATCAGACTCAAAAAAAAACTTCAAACAAGGTTTAGAAATATTCATTTTACTCTTATGAATATGAAATTTTCCTAATACAATTACAAGATTCATCATAACATTTACAGAAGTAGTTTTCAAAATATATGATAACATCTTTGGATGTTAATTCACAGTTATAAACAGATGTTTTTTGTTTTTGTTTTTTTTACAAATTTTTTTACTGGTTTATTTATTTTAAGTAGCCTAATAAAGTTATTTATTTATGCATATATGTATTTTTACATTTCATGGTAGCCTATTTGGGTATATCCACCTTATTCCTAATTTAAAATGAACAGCAGCAGAAAAGTCAAGACAGCCGACGACAGCCTTTCAACCTAAGTCAAAAACCAGTGAACGTAACTCTGATTGGCTGAGGCAGCATATCATCATAATCCAACCTGTAACGTCAGCCACTCTGATTGGCTGAGGCAACGTGCCAGGCATGTGGCGTGTTATTCAAGCAGAAATAACGGCA